AATTATGATAACAGTATTAAAAGAACCAATTTAAACATAATTTTCAGTGAATCATTTACAAATAAACAGTGAAATTACTTTAACCAGATAAATATTTATTTCAGAAGAATTAAATTGCTTTAGACTTCAGTTCAAACAACTTTTCGCCGTCCTACAGTTTTCTAGATTGTAAGTTCCGTATACCTAATTCACAACAATACCTTTTAAACCTTTTATTTATCAGTTCACAACAATACCTTTTAAATCCTTTATTTATCGATTCACAACAGTAATAAAATATGATCTAAAAAACCTGCAAAACCTAGAGTTTCCAAATCCTGCAAAACCTGATAAACCTACAAAACCTAGAGTTCCATTACCTTTTAAGCCTTTGTTCAATTCACAATGGTACATGTTTCTAAACCAATTGTTCGATTCACAACAATACTCATTTATTGATAAAACCCTCAACTGTTTAATCTTTATTAACAATTATTATTTATATGCATGTACGCCAATAACAATTTGTATTTTGTAGGAAACCTCGCTACTAGGATGAGAGAGAGGATTATAAACATATATTATAAAGTTCCTGTGTCCCTGTATATAATCTATATATATATATTTACCTGATATATGGGCTACTAGGATGAGAGAGTGGATTATAAACATATATTATAAAGTTCCTGTGCCCCTGTATATAATTTATATATATTTACCTGATATATGGGCTACTACGATGAGAGAGTGGATTATAAACATATATTATAAAGTTCCTGTGCCCCTGTATATAATATATATATATTTACCTGATATATGGGCTACTAGGATGAGAGAGAGAATTATAAACATATATTATAAAGTTCCTGTGCCCCTGTAAATAATATATATATATTTACCTTATATATGGGCTACTAGGATGAGAAAGTGGATTATAAACATATATTTTAAAGTTCCTGTGTCCCTGTCTGTAAACAATATATATATATTTACCAGATATATGGGCTACTAGGATGAGAGAGAGGATTATAAACATATATTATAAAGTTCCTGTGTCCCTGTATATAATATATATATATTTACCTGATATATGGGCTACTATGATGAGAAAGTGGATTATAAACATATATTATAAAGTTCCTGTGTCCCTGTAAACAATATGTATATATATATACCTGATATATGGGCTACTAGGATGAGAGAGTGGATTATAAACATATATTATGAAGTTCCTGTGTCCCTGTAAACAATATATATATATTTACCTGATATATGGGCTACTAGGATGAGAGAGTGGATTATATACATATATTATAAAGTTCCTGTGTCCCTGTATATAATATATATATATATTTACCTGATATATGGGCTACTACGATGAGAGAGTGGATTATAAACATATATTATAAAGTTCCTGTGTCCCTGTATATAATATATATATATTTACCTGATATATGGGCTACTAGGATGAGAGAGTGGATTATAAACATATATTATAAAGTTCTCATCTCCTTCTGTTATTGAGCACTGTGATACATTCAGATTTGGGCAAAGAGTCTAAAACATAATTAAAATATACAAGAACAAATAGGCAATATAAATTATAGCGATACAAGTTCTAATAATCGATATATTACCAGGGGCCGCGATTTAAAAGCTTCGACTCGAGTCGTAATTCCTTAAACCCAGCTTTAAAATCTAAGACCCAACTCTGACGACAGCTTGTGTCACGTGATTGAAAGTTTCGCGATCTTAGGCTTGTCTTAAGGAGTTAGGTGCAATGAAAATGAATACCGACCTTGTTTGGTTTTAGTAGAGAATGAGACTCAATGATGAGTCTTGTTCTCATCAAAATCCGGAATGTGCCAATTCAATTCATGAAAATCCGCCAAATGCAATATTAAACCGGTTTTAGAACACAACTCGGTGGAAAATTAGATGCAACATGAATCCGAAAGTTCTATCCGTAAATATTGCCCAACAACAGCTTAGATCTGAGTCGTATTTTCTTGAATTTTTTAAGTGGCCGGCTCAGAAATGAACAAGGCGGTGGGGGCACATTGTAGTGGCACAAAATTAAAGAAATTGAGAAAGAAGTATGAGGTCATTGAGCTTTATTTTGGCCTTCCTGTATTAAGAAAAAAGGGGGGGGGGGGGAAAGGAGACATTTTACAGTCTAAACCCCTACATGATGTTAGCTAATTAGGATTTTTTGCATCTTTGGGACAAAACGTAGATTGTACAACACATATATGTCTTCAAATTGTCCCCTTCTCTTGTAGAATCATTAAAAAAAAAAATTACATTATGGTTTAGCAGTGCAGGTGAGTAGTTACGCCCTGACTTATCTATATAATATCTGGTCTGGAGGGGGAAGTGAATTCTCAAGTCCTGACTTATCTATATAATAGCTGGTTTGGAAGGGGGAGTGAGTGCATAAGTTCTGACTTATCTATATAATACCTGTTCTGAAGGGAATTGTTAGTGCTCAAGTCCTGACTCATCTATATAATACCTGGTTTGGAGGGGGAAGTGAGTGCTCAAGTCCTGACTTATCTATATAATACCTGGTCTGGAGAGGGAAGTGAATGCTTAAGTCCTGACTTATCTATATAATACCTGGTTTGGAGGGGGAAGTGAATGCTCAAGTCCTGACTTATCTATATAATACCTGGTCTGGAGGGGGAAGTGAATGCTCAAGTCCTGACTTATCTATATAATACCNATTTAGTAAACATTTTCTTTAATCATTATAGATTTAGCGAATATTTGTTTTTATCCTTATAGATAATAGATTTAGTAAACATTCTCTTTAATCATTATAGATTTAGCGAATATTTGTTTTTATCCTTACAGATAATAGATTTAGTAAACATTCTCTTTAATCATCATAGATTTAGTAAACATTCTCTTTAATCATCATAGATTTAGTAAACACTCTCTTTAATCGTTACAGATTATGTAGACATTCTCTTTAATTATTATAGATTTAGTAAACATTCTCTTTAGTTATTATGGATTTAGTAAAAATTCTCTTTAATTATTATAGATGTAGTAAAAATTCTCTTTAATGTTTATAGATTTAGCAAACATTCGCTTTAATTATTATAGATTTAGTAAACATTCTCTTTAATTATAATAGATTTAGTAAACATTCTCTTTAGTTATTATAGATTTAGTAAACATTCTCTTTAATATTTATAGATTTAGCAAACATTCTCTTTAATATTTATAGATTTAGTAAACATTCTCTTTAATCATCATAGATTTAGTAAACACTCTTTTTAATCATTAAAGATTATGTAGACATTCTCTTTAATTAATCTAGATTTAGTAAACATTCTCTTTAATTATTATAGATTTATTTAACATTCTCTTTAGTTATTATAGATTTAGTAAAAATTCTCTTTAATCATCATAGATTTAGTAAATATTCTCTTTAAGTATTATAGATTTAGTAAACATTCTCTTTAATATGTAGTAAATACCTTCGCATGTTAAAAAGAATCGATGACCCACTCCCTCTAGAAGCAACTTCCAACTAAAATAAAAAAAGAAAATAGTAAATTTAAAAAAAGTTTTTACAATAAATTTTCTAAAAATTATGTCTGTTCTCCAGAAGAGGGGTGTGTGAAACATAATTAATTATTTTTCAGTGACAGCTTTAAACATAGGAACTGAGTCTTTGTCTAATCCCTTTATCTTTATAACCAAATATTGTAGACCTTTGATATTTCAAACTATGAAGTTTGTTAGCAAATAAGGTATATTTGCAACCATCTGGAATTAGAAATTCAGAGTTTTTGGATAACTGAAGCAGAGATTGGAACAAGATAAGATACAAAGAAAAGGCAATGTTAAACATGGAACATGTTAAACGGATGTTAAACGACAACGGATGGCTTGGGTAGAAATAGCGGAGTGCTAAACTATTTCCGAAACACTGAAATTTAAAAATATCAAGTTTTTCTCCACATTTCTCAATAAATAACTGAAAGGTACTGTGTAACCGCAATATCAAGTGTCCCATGATTTAGAGAGTGGCATGTCAGATTCACACCGGGGCTCTTTAACCCAATAATGAACGGTGTCTAACTAAATATAGACGTGTTTTCAATTGTGGTTTCTTTTTAAAAATAAACAATGGAGGAATTAAATCCTTTTAATATTGAAAACGACAATATCTTTCTACTTTAAAGGTCACCACTGTGAATTAGACATTGGTATAAATGGAATTATTATTATACTTGTTGGGACACTGTTAAATCTCTCATCCCTCTCCTCTCCAGCAGTTTAATACTGGGCCGGGAACTATAAAAACCTAAAAGCATAGATACATAAAAATGTTTATTTGACTGTATTCTGCATGCTTGTACGAAAGTTAGTCTTTTTCATAGATTAAAAACAATACAGAACACTAGATGTCGTCTTTTCAAGATCAAGGGGTATTTCGTTCACAATAACCCTGAGACAGAAATCCCAAAGGAATTTTCAAGTATGCCGCGTTGAATTACAAGACAAAGAGAGAGCATGCGCGTAACTCCTTTGCGCTTCTGCCTCGGGGTTTTTGTGAACGAAAAACTCCTAAATCTTGTAAAGGCGACATCTAGTGTTCTATCTGTATTGTTGAACAATCTATGCCTAAAAGAAATTTTTCTAATTCCTGTGTTTAATTAAACAAAAAAAAGTTCCTCAATACTAATTCTAATTCTAATTTCTAATCAATAAGTGGATGAAACTGAAAGTCCAATAAACACTACACTAGGGTTCCAGCGAAATGGGGAATTCGTTTCGCGCAAATTAAAAATGTTTCACAAAAATTAAGGTTTTGCCGAAACTTTCGGATTTTTTTTCGAATCCCGTTCGTTGCAAAAAAAATGCGAACAATTACGCTAATTTCGCTAATTTCGCTTATTTTATCACAAAATTCCGCACGGTTTTTGCTTCCTTTCGCAAAATTGATTTTCTCGAAAAAGTTTGCGAATTATGAAAGTTAAATTTCGCAAAGAAGTTTGTGATCGCTGGAACCCTACTCAAAGCACATCAACACAGGCTCATTTGATTTTCAAGATAAAGGACAAACTATTTGCTTTATAACAGCATCACTGTACCTGTCCAATATGAATCTGCAGAGGACGCATAGGGAAAGAAATCATCTGATTTTGTTGGATATTCCACTTTTCCTAAACACATAATTACACCTTAGAGTAAACACAGGCTGATCTACATAATTACACCTTAGAGTAAACACAGGCTGATCTACATAATTACACCTTAGAGTAAACACAGGCTGATCTACATAATTACACCTTAGTCTGATCTACATAATTACACCTTAGAGTAAACACAGGCTGATCTACATGAATCTTTATGGAAAGGAATTGAGTCTTCAAAATTATATTATTAAATTCAACAGATATTTTGAAATATCCAAGGTCAACATTATTAGATAATTAGATTTTGTGAGAAAGACTAAATTCCTTCGGCTTCATTGGTTGTCTGACTGTATGTATTTTATAAACGTCAACACGCCAGAACTGATAGAGCTCAAACTTTTTGTGACAACTCACACAACCCAAGGAAAGGTATTTGGATGCTACAAGATGTAAGATTTTGTCAGGCAAAATATTTTAGAATGTATAACACATTACATACACCCAATAATATATAATAAAACAAGAAATTCGTATATATATGTTCCCTCTGGCTAACCAAAAAACCAATTGGGCTAGTTATTCATAATTAAATATAAATGAACCGCATAGTTGCATCAACATTTAATTTTCTAATCTCTATATCTTTATATTAAAAACCAGAACATACGTCATAATACTTTGATAATTTAAACTTAGAGTAAAAACAATGTCGGCTCTAGATCAAATAGTTAGAATCATTAAAGGTGAGTCATCAATCACTATCAGATTGCCAAGATATCTGGATTATAATATTAGAATTAAGACGAGTAATCAGTTCCTTTTTACATTTTTACCTTCGCTGAGAGATTTAATATAACAGGATGGGGTAGAATAGAGAACATGTATTCCTGTTTCATCAGTCCTGCTGTTCATATTCTTTATCAACTAAACAGCATCTTCTATTAAAAACTAAGTATTTCTGTTTCTTAATAAGCTTGCTGTCCACATTTTTTATCAATTAAACTATATATTCCTGTTTCTTAATAAGTTTGCTGTTCATATTGTTAATCAAATAAACATTCATTCCTGTTTTTATAATCCAATTGTTCCAATAATAAATTGTTAAAATAATGCTTTATTCCTTTTTATTAAATTCTATTTTAGGGGTTGACAGTTATTTTCGGACAAATAATATAATTATCTACTTTGTGAGCATGAATGAATGTAACAAGAGTTGCTTGAGGGGGAGAAGGCCAACCACAAAAATATCTCGTCCGAGCCACATTCTTCTCATTTTTTAGTCCGTGCAACCTCAAAATCTTCGTCCTTCCAATTTTTTTTAATGTCCAATTGTTGCAGATAAAAATATTTATTGAAAATATGGCGACGTTAGGGCAAAAAAATATAAAATTTTCCCAAACAGTTTCTTTCGTGAAAAACTAAATATTCTCTATAAACTATGTTTTACAAAGAAGCATCTTAATAAGTGGGTAGAACGAGAATTTCGAGGTGGCTCGGACAAGAAAATGAGGATAATGTGGCTCGGATTAAATATTGTTGCGGCTGGCCTTCCTCCCACCGTTTCTTGTTGATGATCTATAGGAGGAAAGATTTATATTGTTAAGTGCACTTTCCATAAAGAAGTTTCTAACAACTCAACTCAATGAAGTTAGCAGCACGAGTAGATAGAGAATTTTTACAGGGTGGCTTACATTTATTACTGAGGCGATATCGAATATAAATAAAAATGTTAGATGACGAAGTAAAAAACAGTCAATTAACTTTGTAGGCTGTCCATTCACTTAATTAAGCACACCGGATTGAAAAAGTTCAAATTTTCATAATGCAGTATTTCATTTTTTTCGCTTGTTCATTCTCAAAAAATTAAAGTTCAAACTTTTTTGTTCACAAAAATCGAAAAAGCGTGTGTTCTGTCACCTTATCAATATTTTTATAGTATTGTCGAGCATTTTGGTAAGTGAAATCATCCCCCATAGTAAACATGATGTGCTGTTCATCCTGAAAATATTTTAGTATTTTTTTAGATTTGGAAAAAACTTTAAAGTAAAAAAAAGATAAAGAAAAAGTGTTTATTTTATTTGTGCATTTTCTGTATAAAAATTGTGGATTTGTTTGTTGTATACAATGTTTATTTGGAAATAATAATATTTCTGGAAAAATCGTTGGTGGATACTGGATAATGAAGAAAGTTTGTTATCAAATCTAGATGCTGAACCTGGAATATTATAAATTCAGATTAAGTTTGGAAAACTTTGCTTAACGATGTTAGAGTCAGTGGTTTAAACTTTAGACTCCAAAAAAAACTCTGAAACCTAATTAGGAAGCGTACAACTTTATCAAAAACAAAAAACTTTATATTGATCACAACATTTTGTGTATCGATCTATATATATATATTAAATCGGACATGAGGAAATAGGAATCCTTCATAAAGCGATTTGAAGAGTTTTAAAATTTTATAGCTTTAGTAAAAACATTATTTGTCAGAAAAAATAATTTTTTTTTACGATTTCCATTCGTTTCAAAACATCCTAAAAAAAACGTTTTAGAAACCTAGGATACCACCAATTCTCGATAAACCCCTGGGCCAGGGGTTACAGTAAATTTTGCTTATTTGATACTTTCCTTATATTTAACCACATAATTAAAAATATAGATAAGTAGAAAAAATGACTGGAAATGAATTGAATATATAGCATTCCGTTTATTTAAGTCCTGATTTACAAGAAACACATGTTTATCAGGATTAACATGATCCTTTCTTAACTAAATATAAAATAAATATAAAATATAAAATAAAATATTACGTTTTCTAGCAAATTCAAGCTAAAAATCACCAATTAAATGTATCTAAAATGATAAACTTAATTGTTTTCCTTATCCCGGAAATAGTTGTAAATTATAAACATTGTTAAATTAGGTGAAAATTATAACTTACAAGTTTTGGTTACTTATTTCTCTAATACGTACGGAGAGACCCATAAAACTGTGGAATGTGAAGATGACTGGCATTCTTAATTCATGACTTTAAACAGTCATGAACACAAACACACAGTAATTGTACAGTCCATTTCACTTGATAAGTTGTTGTTAAAGGGACTGTACAGGAAAAATGAAAGTGGGGTATACTGTATAGGCTGAAACCTGAGAATCTTAGGAGTTGAACGATACCTATAAGACATCTATCTGATGTTCCTGTCTCGAGAAATTGGCATACAACTGTGTCAAAATTATACCAAAACGTATATATGTAAGATATACGTCCGTGTCACATGACCAAAACTCCCTCCAATGGCAGTGCAGTATACTGGTCATGTGATACAGACGATATGTGACAATAATATACTGCACTGCCATTTGTTGGAGTTTTGGTGACATGTTTTTGACGCATAAATAATATTATCAATCATATCTATTAACCCTATAAAGGCTGGGGGGTCTGAATCTATGTATAGCCTGTAGAAAAAGGCCTTAGAGAATAGGTATAGGGTTGAAATGCATGTGCATAGCCCAAGTTTTCAAGGCCAGCTTCTAGAAAAAAATTAGACTGATAACTTTAATAGTTTGGGTGCTAGAGAGGGCTGAAAAATGCAAAAAAGGGTCAAAAAAGTGAAAGATATTTTTTTTTGTTTTAAACAAATATCAAAGTGTGACACAAGTTTCTAGATGCATTTTTCAAGAGCTTTTTAAAAATATCTACAGATCTGAAGCTTTAGTCAATAAAAAAGTTATGGGCTATTTTAGATTTTTTTTTACAGATCAGACTTTTTTCCGCCATGTACCCTAACCTATAAATAAAAAAAAAATGTTTAACAAAAATCCTTTAAATTACTATTTATTAAAAGTCAAAAAATTTCACGGTGATAGTGTCAAAAATGAGAGTGCTAGGACAAAAAACTACAGGGAGGGGGCAAACCCCCCCCCCCCCCCGCCTGATCAGAGTTAAAAATGAAAATTTATTAAATTCAAATAATAATGGGAGCAAAATTGAGTTTCTCAGGCTCCTCTGGGATATCGTTGTTTTCAGATTGGTTGCGTATTTGTTGAAAATGATCTGTTTAATTCTACGAAATCTTATACAAAATCTTATATATATATGTTTTGATATAATTTTGACACAGTTTTATATTAATTTTTCGAGACAGGAACAGTAGATGGAGCTCTTATAATTCTCAATCAACTTCTGAGATTCTCAGGTTTAAGCAAAAAGAATAGAATATATATTAGAGTGGAATTTACTAGAAAAAAGTGTAAAACGGCCATTTTGTTGTTCTGTTTCAATACTGCAGGTATACTTCACATATTTGTGCTATATAACCTTTTGGGCCCTGGAACATCATTTTATGGGAAATCTAAATTTAATATTAAAAGAAAACCAAATTATGAAATAGGCTGGTTTCATAATTTACCAATGATCGTTTCACATAGACTCTATGCCTTTCACTTTACAAACGATGATTTTCCGTTATAACTATAAATAATGATGTTTTTTATTCACCTAATTCATTTTATAAAGTTTATTTAACAGCTTTAAAAAATTCGAAATTGAAATGGATAGTCTAGTGAACATACTGTATTAATGTACTCTACTGCATATAATTTGTGAACATTTACATGCTTTGTACACTTTGAACTCTCTTTCAGGCTGAAAGGGACTGACAAAATTCATACCGAGGCATTGTCTAAATTCCACTCTAATATATATTTTATTCTCTTTGGGGTTCAGCCCTTTAAAGAAAGTTTTAAAACAACATCAAATATTGAGAAGATTGCTGAGATATCGTCTTTTTATTTCAATGTTTTCTGACCCTCACACACGAAAGTGTTTCCCCTGAAATATGTCACTTAAAAAATAGTTTTTCAATTCTTGGATTAAGCACTGCCAAGAAATGTTTATTGTAGAATAATAAAAAAAACAATAAATAATGAAAATAATTATAAATAATAATAAAGATATTCTACTAACCTTATAGTACTTGACCTTTTCCTCAACAGTTTTCACAAATTCACTAAATATATACTTTGCTTGTCTGGGTGTCTGTTTGTTTGTTTGTATCCAATAAACGTCAAAACGGCTGAACCAATCGGGCCCAAATTTGTTGTGGGACCTCACATGACCCCAGGGAAGGTTTATGAATGATCAAAATTTCAAACATTAGCCTCCAACAAAATTCGATTTCATTAAATTTTAAAAAATCTACGAATTTTTTTTTATAAAATCCGGTATTTAATTAAAGTGATATAGTTAGCAAAAAAATATATGATCAATCGATATTTTGTAGCTACAGAGTGTCCCGCAAAATTTACTCGTCTTTTTTTTCTTAAAGTTAATATAATATATAAATGGACTCAAATGCATAAAATACAGGCTTTCAAAATGTACTTGGATATTTAGGTTAAGACAATTTGAATTGAAATATTGCAGATCGTATTTTGAAAGTCCCAAGATTTTTTTACATTAATGTAATGAAAGAAGGTTTGAAAATTTTAAATTCATTCTTAAAAGTATTGATACCTTATTTTTGTATCTACATTATATTCCTGTAAACTGGGATCATCGTTGATGGGCTCGTCTAAAATGGTTGAAATGTTGGAATTTTTTAACGTAAACTTAGACTTTTGATAAATCTTTTTTTTTAAATGGAAAGCTTTACTTTACAAAGAAGAAATTAAATTAGAAATTTTTCCCTTGGAATAAATAAATGGAAGAGAAAAGTTAGGAAAACAGAGCTGAAAACTTTAGAATGGTGGATATCGGGATTAAGGCTTAATCCACTCTTTTTCTTAATCTCGAGATTAAATATTGCTTGTTCTCCACTCATTTTTAATCTCCAGATTAATTATCCGATCAGGATTAAGGATATCCCATTCTAAAGTTTTCAGCTCAGACATATAATGTTAAATTTTAAATGATTAAATTCTTATTTTAAAGGAAAACATGTTTGGTCCTTCTAACTGATAACAATCTTTTTGTTTTTACTTTAATTTAGTTTTTAATCCTTATATATTTCAAACTATGAAGCCTGGAAGATCAAATAATCTTAGTTTAGAATATCAAGGGTCTATACTATTAGGTTGCAAAATATAGGAATAAGAAAAGAACTGTCTGCATGCTGTATTCAGAACAGTTAAGGCTAAATTGTATAGGTTAGGAACATAAACACGGCATGGAACTTGTGTTCCCTGAACTATAATCAAACATTTTCAATGCAATTTGCATTAGTATTGCAAGAAGGATCAGAACTTTTTTATAAACTACTTTTAAAAAGGAATTGAGTCTTAAATCATACTACTTAAATCTTCTAATTCCTATATCTTTTCAACATAATTGTGCAAATCTTTAATATTTCAAACTAAAATTATTTGATCCAACAGCATTTATAGTTTGAAATATCTATGGTTAACGACATTGGGTTGCAAAGATATAGGGACTCAATTCCATTATTTACCTGTACAAATAATATCCCAGCAAAAACCTGTGGGTGCACTGTAGTGGTCATCGAATACACCAGTAAATATCGACTTTATTATTCATCATTTTAAGAAAGTAAACATAGCCATTTACATTATTATAAAAATTGCTCGGATGCCACACGGGCAGCCGTAGTACATTTGAATTTCCGCGCCGGGTCAACCTTTCCGGTCCCAGTTTGTACTGTACCTAACTCTATGGACAGGACTTGCCGGTGCAACTTGGTTGACGCGGTCAGACTTTAGGTTGAATTTACTTTTAATAAAAAAGTAGATGTGTGACTGCGTGGTATATGTATATATAAACCCCTCTTTTCCACCCTCCCTCCCTCTAGTTGAATAATTATGAATATTCCTGTTCTAAAACCCTTCCTCCCTCCCTCCCTCCCCTAGTTGAATAATTATGAATATTCCTGTTTTAAAAACCTTCCCTCCCTCCCTCCCTCTAGTTGAATAATTATGAATATTCCTGTTCTAAATCTCCTGGTTCTCCTCCCTCCCAGATCATCTGTAACTCTTTCAAACTTTTCCTCTCAGCTTTATCCCTAGTAAAACCACATTTTCAGAGATTAAAACTTTTAAAGGGACTGTAAGCGTAATTTCAAATAACCTCATTTCTATAGCTGAAGATTGAGGGCCGGTGTCGGGCATGGAGACACCTACCTACATGGAAACACCTCTCCCTAAAGTTTTAATAATTTCAACACAATGTTAGACGTAAAAAGCAATGTTGTGACATTTTCCGATATTTATTAATGTATTTTGATTGGAAAAACACGTTAAAAATTATCCACGTATTGAGTAAATATTAATTCTTTGATGATTTCAAAGGAAGGCGACATTCGAGAGGAAATAACTTTTTTGCCTTTACATAAATTCAAGAACTAAATGCGTATTTAATAAATGTCAACTGGTAATTTTTTAATGTTTTAACATTGTATTTAATGTCTAACCTTGTGTTGAAATGGTTAAATCTTTATGAGGAGATGTGTCCAAGTAAGGGAGGTGTCCAGATGCACAACACCGAGATATTGAGACTCAAGTTTACTCTCCATACTAGTGTACACCTTTGCTGTTTCTTGGCAGTTTATTTTCCGCTGTATAAATAAGAATATTACAAAATTCTTTATCAAGCAAAGGTTTATAGAGTATCATTTTAGATCGGTTATGCCACTCTACATAATTGAAGCTATCATCTGAAATTACGCCTACAGTGTCTTTAATAAACACTTGCCTTTTACCCACCTGTAATCTATCCTAGCAAAGAACAGTCCTTTGAATCCCATTTCAGCAAAAAGTCTGGCCTGCTCCTTTGAATGACCAAAGGGGTCGATCTGCCAGGCTACATCAGGAACACTACACTCTCCTAGATTAACCCATAAGGTGAAAACCCAGTTTTAAGAAGCAATTACTCCAGAAGTTTGTACATTTCTGTTATGATCAAGCATTCATCTCAATCTTATGTATTGTGGTCCCAACCAAGGGTTCTCCAGCTTGTATATAGTATTATACAGTTCATTGCTCACAAGCGGAGATATAATGCCAAACAATTCAATCCGAGAATAAAGCCAATCAATCTATACTGAAGCCCAAGAGGATAATTGAACCCTGAGTATGTTGCAGCCTGAGTATACAGCAGGATAGGCCAAGGAGGGTATTGCATTCCTTTCTTATCTGGTAGATATACAGTTTAAAGGGCGGAGCTAGGGTATGATTAATGCCGGAGTGTCTTCGGCCATCTTATCCCCCAATCCCCTAAGACTTTGTCAGTTCTCATGAAGTATCTGATAAGAAGAGTCGAATGAAGATATATTTGTCTTAGGCGAATATCATGAGTATTTAGATCAACTATTGTTGGTCCAACACTAATCGTTTGTATCAGTATAGTGTAAATATTGTGTGTGTGCAAAAACATGCTCCGTTATTCCACTCAATCTCGGCTTTTTACTAATGAGTTCTTTAGTATAGCTTTAAATAAATTTAACTTCTATTTGATATCAAAGTGAATAAATACTAAAGTGGAACAGACTAAGGAAACGACGACAGGTTGGGCCTTAAGGTTTTATTTGGTTTGGAAATAATTTCATGAAAAGATTTCGTTTGGAAAGTAAAGACTAGAAAAAATAGACTAAAGACCCATGTAAATGTCGTCTTCAGATGGAACTTCGAAATTTTCACGTTATATATATATATATACATATTTCTAAATACTTGGGACATAAAATGTCGTCATCCAACTATGAGTTTGGTCCACTTTAGTATTTATTCACTTTGATTTGATATACCGTAGTCAGTAGTGATCATAAAGAATACAAAATGGTGAACAAAAACAACATTTAAAAGATTTTACGAAAAAGGGCGCTCTAAAAGTCTATCAATGTATAGCGGAGAAGAAAATAAATAAATCAGTAAGTTTTTGCTTCCTTATCATATAAAGTAGCTCTCAGATAGTATAATACCCTAGAGAAATTAAAAATAAGTAGACACTTGCTTGATTCTCTTAACATTAATGTAAAAATAGATCAGAGGCGTATATTGTTAGATGAAATGGATCTTTGATATAAATGCATCATAATTGCACCTGAAATACTTTAAATATCAAATTTAAATGTTATTTGTTCACTCATTTATTACAAGTTTTGAAATTGATAAGTTAATTTAAAAAAACGTATCCTATTAAATTTTAATCTAATTAATAAATAATGTTAGGGATGGGATAGGGAATCTTTTTGAGGTCCAATTCTAAAAAGTTTTATTTGTACATTACATTGTAGAATTGTATTCTCAATATATTTTCTTCTATTACTGAACAAATTCTCCTACCAAAGATATTAATTAAAACTGTTCGTTTTTAAAAATCGTTTTTGTTAATATCTTCGGTGAGAGTAAAAATTAAGCATGAAACGACCTAGATTCAATTGTGGGTCCTCAGTGAAATATTTAAAAACTATTTGAATGTTTCAGACCTCAAAATAATGCCATTAGAAGAATTACCTAGATTGTCTTTGAGCCAATTAATTCCAAATTCCATATTGTTTATTATTGAAAGGAAGTGAGTTGTTGCTTCATCATTCATACTCCAACCACCACCTATAAATGAACCATATAAAGTTTGTTGTAGCAAATTAACTTACCTCAGGTAAAGCTGAGACCATCCAAGTATAGAGAAGAGTACGTTCAACTTTTTTTTTCATTTTGTTTGTTCATCAATCGTAAACGAACCATTTCGTGTTTTCTTTTTCAATCGGTCAAAACAAAAATTATTTTGTTCTCTCTCAAAATTATCGTTCATTTTCCATTTATTTTGTTCGTTTTCTCCCTGAACATAAAATCGTTTCTTCAGTAAAATTGTTCATATTTTTTAGAATTGGGGGAAAATTCCCACAACCTATATTTTTGGAGGTTTTTAAATATTTTCTTCTTAATCACTTAATTTTGTATGTTTTTGTTATATTTCATAAATAAATAATTACTTAACAAAATCGTCCGTTATTTTAATTTATTCAATTAATAAAAAAGATCGTTTTTAAAATAAAAATGTATACAAAAATCGTTTTTTAAGTATGATAAAAATTGTACGTTCTGATAAAAACTTTTTTTTCAAAATCTTTTGGAAAATTAGTTTGTTCAATAAAACACTTTCCTTTTAAAGTTCGTTCAACCGATTTTAAATATTTCGTTTTTTTCTCAATTTTAAATTATTTTTTTTTTCTCTGAACGATCTATTTTGTTTGTCCTTCCTATTTTTTATAAACGACATCCTTTTTTTACGAAAAATTTCGTTTGTTCAAAAAATAGCCATCTCTACATCCAAGGGGACAAAAAGTTTTAAGTGGAGAAATTTTAAATTATAAATTCTCATTGGTAATTTTTACATTGGAAAAAAACCAATTAATCCAGCGAACACTGCATACTCCATCATAGGGATGAAAATTTAACCTTGGACACTAACCTTGTTGGCGGGATGGTACTATAGATTGTTTTGTGACCGATGGTGTCGTTTTTACTAAACTAACGAATGTTAAGAAAGATTTCGAAAAAATAATCTTTTTTATTAATGATAGAAGAACTATTTCTAAACAAACGAATTTTTTAACAAACATTTAAAAAATAATCAATTTTTTTAAAAGAACAATTTCATTGAAGGAACTTTTTTACTGAATGATCGTTCTTTAAGACAACGAACGAAATTGATGAAATATGAACAATAATTTTGATATTGATAAAAATACAACACAATGGGCTGTTCACGAACTATGAACGAACGCAATTAAAAAAAAAGCATTTGACACTTTAGATCCTAATTACTCCATCACAAGGATGATATTTAACACTCAAGATTAACTATTTTTCTGTGAAAGGGAAAGTAATTGTAGTAATTGTATTAGTGTCCTGAGTGTTAATTAATGTTCACTGTAAATATTACGTAATTCGTAGCAATAAAAAAAAACAGAGAGACATCTGTATATTGGATCAAGGTCCAAACTTTAGGAGTATTTACTGTAACTTTATATAATATTTTAAGAACTTATTCTGCCTTTGTAAGTTGAGCCATAAAATATTTGAATATGAGCCAATTCCTTGAGATAAAAACAAATCAGTAATCTTGGCAAACCTTTACTCAACCTTCACATCAATATACATAATAGAGTGCATACATACTTTCAAAGAATAAAGTTAGATGTTATTACGACCAATAATTATTCAACATTTTCCTGGAGGTTAAAAGCATTAAACTGAAACATGGTTTCCCACAATGGTTGAGACTTCGAAGACTACTTTATAGGATTTATTCAACCTATGCTTACATTCAACCTATACATGCATTCACGATTCTTTACAACAGTACTGTAAACTTGTTTCTTTCGTGCAGGTCAAATAATTTAGAACAGAAATTCAACCTTTGAAGAAGTTGCCGCCTGCCGGTCATTTAAGTACTACTTTCTTGTGGGTAACCCACTGTTGAAAATTGCCTAGTATATTCTGCAAACTAGAACTTTATGGGGACTATATCCTGCAAACTAGAACTTTATGGGGACCATATCCTGCAACCTAGAACTTTATGGGGACTATATCCTGCAACCTAGAACTTTATGGGGACTATATCCTGCAAACAAGAACTTTATGGGGACTATATCCTGCAACCTAGAACTTTATGGGGACTATATCCTGCAAACTAGAACTTTATTGGGACTATATCCTGCAACCTAGAACTTTATGGGGACTATATCCTGCAACCTAGAACTTTATGGGGACTATATCCTGCAAACTAGAAATTTACAGGGACTATATCCTGAAAACTAGAAATTTATGGGGACTATATCCTGCAAACTAGAACTTTACAGGGACTATATTCTGCAAACTAGAACTTTATGGGGACTACATCCTGCAAACTAGAACTTTATGGGGACTATATCCTGCAAACTAGAACTTATGGGGACTATAAACTGCAAACTAGATTTACAGGGGCTATATCCTGAAAACTAGAAATTTATGGGGACTATATCCTGCAAACTAGAACTTTACAGGGACTATATCCTGCAAACTAGAACTTTATGGGGACTATATCCTGCAAACTAGAACTTTACAGGGACTATATTCTGCAAACTAGAACTTTATGGGGACTATATCCTGCAAACTAGAACTTTATGGGGACTATATCCTGCAAACTAGAACTTTACAGGGACTATATTCTGCAAACTAGAACTTTATGGGGACTATATCCTGCAAACTAGAACTTATGGGGACTATATCCTGCAAACTAGAAATTTACAGGGGCTATATCCTGAAAACTAGAACTTTATGGGGACTATATCCTGCAAACTAGAACTTTACAGGGACTATATTCTGAAAACTAGAACTTTATGGGGACTATATCCTGCAAACTAGAACTTTATGGGGACTATATCCTGCAAACTAGAACTTTACAGTGACTATAAACTAGAACTGTATGGGGACTATATCCTGCAAACTAGAATTTTACAGGGACTATATCCTGCAAACTAGAACTTTATAGGGACTATATCCTGCAAACTAGAACTTTATGGGGACTATATCCTGCAAACTAGAACTTATGCGGACTATATCTTGCAAACTAGAACTTTATGGGGACTATATCTTGCAAACTAGAACTATATGGGGACTATATCCTGCAAACTAGAACTTTATGGGGACTATATCCTGCAAACTAGAACTTTACAGGGACTATATCCTGAAAACTAGAAATTTATGGGGACTATATCCTGCAAACTAGAACTTTATGGGGACTATATCCTGCAAACTAGAACTTTACAGGGACTATATCCTGCAAACTAGAAATTTATGGGGACTATATCCTGCAAACTGTTTTCTACCTGCAAACTTTAACTTCAAAGGGACTGTTTTCTACCTGCAAACTTTAACTTCAAAGGGACTGTTTTCTTCCTGTAATCTGTAACTTCAAAGGGACTGTTTTCTACCTGTAATATGTAACTTAAAAGGGTCTGTTTTCTACTTGTAATCTGTAACTTCAAAGGGGCTTTTTTCTACCTGCAAACTGTAACTTCAAAGGGACTGTTTTCTACCTGCAAACTGTAACTTCAACGGGACTGTTTTCTACCTGCAAACTGTAGTTGTCCTGAGTTGATGAGGCTGAGGGTAAGGTTTCTCATAAAATCATCCTTTAGATGTAATTTAGTTTAATTTTGTTCAACACAAGCACGGAGAACTTTGTTTAGTTTACAAAAATCAACAAATAACAAACTAAAATATCAAATCCAAAAATTTATTCATAAAGGTAAAAAGAAAAATCTTAAGGGGACTGTTCGCGTAATTTCAAAAATGACCAACCATTTAAAGATGGCGATGGTAGCCTTGAAAACATTATCTGATCAATAATGTCGCTGTTTAAATTTAATATTCTGAAAATATCTACATGTTTTTCTTTTGTAGAATTGCGCCTTTTAAAAACAATTTTAGTTTTCAAAGTAATGAACATTGATATATAATTAATCCTTGATCAGTTTTCAAGGCTACTCTTGTTAATCGGGCATTATACCATCTTTGCATGGAGGTTCATTTGAAATTACGCTTACAGTCCCTTTAATAATGATAAATAGTGAATAAATCGAGGTAAACCTATTTAAAAATGATAATTATAGTCCATATTCAATGCTCATGTCTATGAAAAATAGCTTCATGTTTGTTTTTTCAAATTCCGAAAAATAAATTTGAGCAAATCATTAAATTCCTTAGATTCCCACCATCTCCACAAAAATCCAGTCTCGACCTTTACAAAAACCATTATATTTTAAAAACTAGCACCATTTTGGAAACTACATATTATGTTAATTGTAGATATTGGATTTAATTCACGCATATTAACAAAAACAATTATCTTGTCCTTTTCTTAAAAAATTATAAAAAAGTGCTTAGTATTCAAAGAAGAGGGTTAATCATTAAAAAATTCTTCCATCTACGACATTGCCATGGCCTTTGTAAAAATGTAGCTGAAAAAAAAGTTAATTTAAAGTTTTACCACTCTTTACCCTTTTCCTCAGCTAGCATTCTAACAAAGGTTTTTTCATGACTTCAGGGAAGGGGTTATGAGTTGCCCGAAAAAAAATTACGACATTTATTATTTATTAAAGGCGCAAATGCATAACAGAAAAATCTGCGAAATATGATTTACAAAGATTTACAAAGTGGCAGCTTAAAGAGCAACGGTTAACAATTTAAGTTCTTATTAGAAAAGTGGCGAAAAGTTTCCTCTAAGCCTTAAATAATAAATATATATAAATATGACCTGAATAAACTTTTTAGTTTCATCTCGGGCCAACTCTTTGATTACGCTTTCAATAATATACTGAACTCCAGCTCTTTGTACCTCCTGACTAGAATAATAAAAACTAAACGTGGAGTAGATGTCGACATTTAGACTCCAGTTATGATTTCAAATAGTGAAGATAAAGCACAACAATTGTAAAGTTTAAATGTAGTCATATAACGTAACGTCACTATTGCCTCTATAATCAGTCTCGGCATATGAGGTTTTATCTAACTATCTAAGGAGACGACATTTTCCGTACATTGGAGCGCATCGAGAGTAACCAACATTCTTATACAACCTTGGTTAAAACAGACCCATTTTACTTAGTGAATTAATTAGTGGTAAAACAACATTAAATNTATTGCGGAGAATTCTTTTAGGAATCATTTGAGACCTATGAGAAGTTTTTACGGTGCACATTTGTTCAGCAAGAGCGCAATTTCAATCTTTAAAATCCTCATAGATTGTACATTTTGAATGATTTTGAGAATCGGTATTTTTTAAATTATTCAATGACGACAACGAAAAAGTGTACCGTTATTCGACAGTAAACTAATAAGTTGTTTAGGAACAATTTGAGAAAATAAAAATTAAGTCTTATCATCAAAAACAACTAATCTTATTTAGTTATTAGTTTGTAATGTCTCATTGTTCTCAAACATATTCTGTAGATTTCCTGCAATTTAATTGACAAGACGACATTTGAAGAATTTGAGGAAATCTGCAAACAATTTTGTAAACAATAAGAAATTCAGTATAACGATGAAAAGGAAATAATAGATTCTAACAATGATTTGTTGAGAAAATTTCTATTGGGAAATATGTTCCTAAACATCCAATTAGTTTACTTTAGAATTTTTGTAACATATTTCGTTGTTGTTACTAAATAATTTTTTAAAAACCAATACTCAAAATCATCTCTTCAGAATGGACAATGAAGGAGGATTTTAAAAATTGAATTTGCACTCTTGCTGAATAAACATGTACCGTAAAAACGTCTGATTGGTCTCAAATGAATCCTAAATCATTTCTTTACAAAACTGCATTCTCAGTTTAACTACCAAACATTGCCGGTCACTTCCTTTAAATGATAAGCGAATAACGTGATTAGCCTTGGATAAATTTACAACGAGAAATTGTTTTTGTTTTTGTTTTCTTGCTTTTATTCCATGTCAACTACAGTTCGTTTTAGATGCAACTGGTCAAGGTTATAATCCAAGGAAAGTTAATTTGCAGTTGCGTATACTCTGCGTACATATTAAAACCAGTTCTCTTTGGGCAGAATTTGTAACAAAAATAGATGCATCACTGTTCGTTTAGTTTCCGAGGAGGATGAAAGCATTTAATTTTAAAAATTTTATAATTCACATAATAGTTTCCTCTGACCAGAATATTGCATTGATTTTTTATGTAAAAGATGGATCCCATGTAAGGCTGTGACATCCGTCTTGTGTTTACATTACCGCCCAGAAACAGTACAAAAGATGCGTACACCTCTATAATAACTTTCCTTGCATTATAACCTTGCAAATGGTTGTCAGAACGATAAAGTAGACTAAAATAACAAATGAGTGATATAAAAACCTCAAATTCATATATGCAAACATTTTTTTGTAAAAAATGTTATAAAAGGCCAAATTCAGAATATTTCTCAGGATAAAATAGAATAAGAAAAGATTAATGAATCATACTTGCAGAAAATGTTTTATTCGATTTTTTTACAAATTGAACTAAACTTTTCAACAATGTAAAAATATGAATCTTTTTACAATTTAAATCTAAACTATTTTAACAGTAAGTATATATGACCGATTGGGCACTTTTATTATATATTACTGAAAGTAATTACCACCAAATAAATTTCAGAATCAAATTAATTGGTTAAAATTGTGCATAACCCTTAATTCATAAAGTTCCATGTCAGATTCATGACTGATCTCTTTAAACGATTCTTTGAGAAAAATGACGGAAGGAGGGAATAATAATAATTTAAACTTTTCATTTTTCAGCATAGAGAAACGGCAATATCTTAATCATTGCTTCACACTTTTTTTAAATTTTAATGAATTGAGCATCTAACAGTTTTGTGGAGAATTTTTTTAGGATTTATTTTAGATCTATAATCAGACGTTTTTACGGTGCATATTTACTCATGCAGCAAGAGCGTAAATTCAATCTGAAAAATCCTTATAGATTGTCTATATTGTCTATATATTGTCTATATTATAGATTGTCTATTGTCTATATTGTCTATATATTGTCTATATTGTCTATATATTGTCTATATTGTCTATATATTGTCTATATTGTCTATATTGTCTATATTGTCTATATATTGTCTATATTATAGATTGTCTATATTGTCTATATATTGTCTATATTATAGATTGTCTATATTGTCTATATATTGTCTATATTATAGATTGTCTATATTGTCTATATATTGTCTATATTATAGATTGTCTATTTTGGAGGGATGATTTTGAGAATTGGTTTTTGAAATTGTTCAATAACGACGATAAAAATGTAACAAATATTGTGCAGTAAACTATTTAGATGTTTATGAACAGGTTGAGAAAATAAAATGATCTATAGCCAGACACTTCCTTTAAACCCAAATATTAAACTATTTTAGAAGCTTACTGTGCTCCATAGTAGTATTGGTCTACAGTTTTCAACCATCCTGTATCATCATGACTATGAGGAACCAAGTGCACGTTAACTGTTAACCAAGAAAAATATTCTTTTTTCAAAACTACAAAAATCATTTTTTTTTTTAAATCGGAATATTTCAATTTTATTTAAAGACTAGCTGAAGGGCCCGGCGTTGCCCGTGAAAAAAAATTTGAAAAAATTAAATAAAAAAATTAAACTATTTAATTTTTTAGCCTATTACATCCACTTGCCACCCTAAGTGTCCACAAAATAATTTCAGCCCGATCGGTCCAGCCGTTTGGCCGGCTATAGACAAATATATATATATACGAATGTCTTGTTTTTTTAATTAAAGATTTCATGTTCAATGTTCTTAAATCTTAATATTTTGATTGTTTAAAGTTATTTCTGGCGCCAAGATATCAAATTAAAGAATAGTATGAATCAGAAATATGGGTCAAAATGCATTTTTCCCTTGTCTACAAGGAATTAATATGCTTAGATCTAAAGGAGAAGAACAGAAAACAGATGTGTATATTCAATCCAGAGTTCAGAAAAAAATCATATGCAAGAGTATACAGAGTTTAGAAAAAAAGAAATTCATGGCTCAGAAAAAAATTAAGATCATTTAAAAATAGTTCTTACTTGTAACACGGCAAACTACAAGGACATCCAACAAAATTTTTTCTTTTTATTTTCAAAATTAGCCGAAGTATGATTGAAGGATGGACCAACAAGAAAACAAATTAAGAACAAGAAATATAGAAATCTCAAAATATATCCATCTGATATCATATAAATATTTAAAAATAGTGTAAAATTTAAAAATAAATAAATTATTAAAGTTAAAAAGATTGTTAAAAGTTAATACAGGAAAATTCGCCTGGTTTCTTTAAGGCTAAAATTTTTAAAAATATATCGTACAATTTTGAAAACATTGAAGTTTATTGTTGTTGTTGGAGTTCGTGTAATAAGCTCCAATTTTTTATATCATATATCTGTGTAGCCCTATATCGTAGACCTGTAGAACAATTATTCTATTAGATCAAAATGTTCAAGAGTAATTCGCCGTCAGGTTGCAAAGATAAAGGAATTACAACAATTTTAACAAAACTGCAATTCCTGCGATTTTTAAAGGTTATTTTTTTTTATTTTCAAGGTTTTCCTTTGCCAGGGAGTGTTGGATTACAGCTATCCCACCCACAATCTCCTGTGGATATGATTCAATTTAAAAAAAAATAAAATATAATTTCATTTCGCGTTTTTTTTGAATTATTTACACTATTAAAAGCAGTTAGTAGGTCAGGTGTTCACAAAAAAAAACAAATGTTCATACATATATTCATATTTTGTGCGTTGAGCCCTAAAATAGTACTGCAAAATAAAAAAATAAACTTTTTCCTGTTTTTTATGTGCAACAGAAAAAAACTACACATGGCTTTTAATTATGTAAATTCTAGGCTTGTATATAGTGTTTCCAGTGCAAGAGTTTTTGACTTCACCCCGAAATTGTGGGCCCTGTAATTTCCGCGCAATTCTGCGCAATTTCGCATAATTCAGCGCAATATGAGAACAGTTGCGCACAAATCCGCGCAACGGATTTCTGTTTGGAAACCTTACTGGTACAGATGAATTTTTGGACAATATGTTTGTTTGTAATAATTAAAACGTCAAAACGGTTAAACTGATGAAAACATTCACAAAAGGAATTGAGTCTTTTCCACAAATTCAGATTTTCTGATCTTTATATCTTTGCAATCCAATATCGTAGACCCTTTATATTTCAAACTATGAATTATGTTGGACCAATTAATCTAAGTTTGAAATATCAAAGGTTTACACCATCAGGTTGCAAAGATATAGAGATTAGAAAATTTGAGTTTGTGACAAAGCCTTTGTTATAATTATTATTTTGTACAAAAAGCTGATGCAGAAAGATTATTAACAGAAATATAGGCGTGAAGCACTCTGTGTGAACCCTATCCCAACAAAAATATTTTTATATATCTATATATAAATTTAGCTTGACTGTTTGTTTGTATCCAATAAACGTCAAAACAGCTGAACCAATCGGGCCCAAATTTTCTGTGGGACATCACGTGACCACATGGAACGATAAAAATTTTTAAAAAATGTGTTTTAAAGGTTTTTAATTTTGTAAAAAAAATTTAAATTCTTGAAAATCCGCGATTTTTTTCTAAAAAATCCGCAACATTTTTTCTTCTTTCTTTTAAAATGTAAACAAAAAAGAACATGTTCACAATTTAAATAGAAGATGGGCGCGAAGAGCCCTAAAAGCCTAGAAAGAAGGGCGCGAAGCGCCTTGAATTTCTAGTATTTAAATATTTTTGTATATAAATAATTTTATATATACGAAAGGTTGACAGGCATGAAACCTAATCCTATCAAAAATGAATAATTTACCTGATCTTTGATTCTGGTTGAATCTAAAATTAGATTTTGATTCGGTTTTCACTAACAAGCAGAAAACAAAAAATATGTCAAATCGCACCATTTTTTCTTTTAAACAAAACAGTTTTGGAATAAAATTCAAAGAATTTTTATCAATTTTTTGACGGACTTAAAAAACAGATGAAAGGATAAAAGGATGAAAAAAAGTATATTAAAGTTATGATGAAAAAGCTAAATGTTTTTATTTCTACGAATTAATTTTGATGAATTATTATATTTAAAAAGGTTTAAAGAATAAGGAAAACCTGTCTAGTAATTATACAGATTTATAAACTAAATATCTGTTAAGTTTTGATAATGTTTCAAACACAGAATTAAATCTGAACTAATAACTGATAAGAGATAAAAATATAAGTAAATATTGAAAATAAAGAGATAAGAAAGATATTTAAGACCTTAGCGTTGGTAACAAGATACAGATCTTATTTTCTTGTGTTTAATAATAATAATATAAGATTAAATTAATCTGCAGATCAATTAAAAGAAGATCAAGCATCAAGCACCCTTGAAGAAAATATAAAAACGATCGTTTTAAAACGATAGTTTTTGTGGTTTTAAAACGATAGCGTTTGGTTCGTTTTTAAGCCTTATATTTTCGCCTAAAAATATGTATGATATGTGATAAAAGCAAACTTCTGCAGACTACAATTTAAAATCGTTGGACCCTTCTCAGCCTGTCATAAAACCTTTTAAAAGTCTAAAAATAATAAAAGTTTCTGTAAAACAAATCTAGCTATTCCCCGGCGCTAAGTGAAGGACAGCGTAAACTCAATTTAAATAACTTTGCCACAAATTCTAACATTCTTATCCCTAAATCTTCTTGCACTTGAAATTTTATTTATTTTATCTATATTTAAGTTTTAAGGTTTGATGTGAATAAATATATCAAACTTATTGTATGTACTGAAAGTAAATCAATGTATGTAGAGAACTAAAAGCCATAATATCAAATATTTACTTAACGTGATTGACTGTTTTTGAATGATTAGCTCGGAATTGAAAGACTGAACCATTTAAAGTCTATATAGTATATATACGGTGGTAGGCGATTATATTGATAAAATGAAGACGACTTTTTTAAAATTTTAATTGTTAACAAGCTTGTTTCGAAATACAAGATTACAAGAAATTAATAAGATATTTTGATTTACAGCTTCTCTTTTTTTCCATTTTTTGTGTATCTATGCTGTTTGAAAGCTTAATATCAATCTAAATTGAAACCTTAAGTCGTCTTCATTGAATTGATATAATGGCCTACCACCGTATTAAAGGGCTTAAGGGGGCTTCGAGCCCATCTTCGATTTTAACTTTTGATTGTTGCTCTTTTATCAATTGTTTGTTTTGAAAAAATCTATAATTTAAGGCAATTTTTTCTCATTCTCACCATCCACAAACCTCCCCTGCCATCATGTGAGGTCCAAAAAAATGTGGACCCGATCGGTTCAGCCGTCTTGACATTTATCAGTTATAAACAAACCCAAACAAACAAGCTTAGTATATATATATAGTCCAATATAGTCTAGTATAGCCCTTAAGTCCAATGTAGTTTAATATAGTTCAATATATATTAGACTTTAATAGAGCTGAACTGGACTATATTAAACAATATTGGAATATATTGGACTATAGTAGACTATATTGGATATATAGGGCTATACTGGATTATATTGAACTAGAATGGACTATACTGGACTATATTGGGCTATGTAGGACTAAACTGGACTATATTGGTCTATAATGGAATAGAATGAGCTATATTGGGCTATATGGGGCTATACTGGATTATATTGAACTAGATTGGACTATACTGGACTATATTGGGCTATGTAGGACTAAACTGGACTATATTGGACTATAATGGAATAGAATGGGCTATATTGGGCTATATAGGGCTATACTGGATTATATTGAACTACATTGGACTATACTGGACTATATTGAGCTATGTAGGGCTATACTAGACTATATTGAATTATATAGGACTATATTGTACTATAATGGAATAGAATGGGCTATAGTGGTCTATATTTGACTATACTGGGCTATATTGAACTATATTGGACCATATTGGACTAAATTAGACTATATTGGACTAAAATTGAATATATTGGTCTATATGGGGCTATGTAGGGCTATATGTAATAAACTGTATTGAACCATATTAGACTATATTGAACTATATCATACTATATTGGACTATGTTCCACTATATTAGAACATAGTCCAATATAGTGGAACATAGTCCAATATATTAACCTATGTTCCAATATATTGGACAATATTGAACTTATTGGACTATGTTTCACTATATTGGGCTATGTTCCAATATAGTCCAACAAGTCCAATACATTGGACTATATTTTACTATAATGATTTATGTTGGGCTATATTGGAACATATTGATTTATCTTGGACTATAAGGATATATTGGACTATACTGGACTATACTGGACAGTAGAATACAGTGGACAATACGTCCAATACCGGACTATATTGGAGAATAAAAGTTCAAAAATAAAATTTTTTCATCAAATGCATTTTTCTAAAATATTCTCAGTTTCAAACGATTTTGAGCAGGTTTTGAAAAGTTGGACTAGGGACATGTATCACACTCTCCTATCTCAACTTTCAGGGCAAAATCATTGTGGGGGGGGGGTGTTCCCACCGGGCAACTGCTCCCCAAATATCCAACCTTGCTTCTCATTTTCCCAGCCCTGTGCACTTTAAAATAATACTCTCCATAACTCTGGGTCAAGCATCTTAAACTCAAATGTAGATTTGAAATAAAACCCTCAGAATAAAATTGTAAATATGATGAGACCATTTAGAATTTGAGAAATTATTATAAAATGGACATATTTTCGATTGTTAGGGGTGCATGTCTAGGGGGTACACAGGGTTGTCGGTCCCCCACCCCCTGCATGAGGAGCATTAAATAATAATGAGTTATCTTGAATTCTGAAAACATTTATATTTTATTTTTCAACAAATATTTTCTAATATATAATGTTAAAAAGGAAAGGGTTCAACAATGGGGGGGGGAGGCAAGCCGCACCCGTAAAGCCTCCATCCCGCAATTTACTGGAAAACATAGAGTTGCGGCAAAGTGCTCACCTTAATGCGATTTTCTCCTAAAAAATATTTTGTACATGCCTGCTGATGTTGATCTTCTCTAAAATATTTTGTACATGCCTGCTGATGTTGATCTTCTCTAAAATATTTTGTACATGTGAGAGAAAATATGTTAAATATTAAAAATAGCAAATTACCCTTTACAAAAGTAAAAAATATGACTCCCTGCAATATTAATTATCTTCCTTCCTTCGATGGTTCTTTCTTGTCCACTTCCTGACAACATATGTCGGTATGGTACAGCCTCGAACCGTAACAGTACACGGCAGTTGGCAGCCCAGTACAAGCTTCTAGTCAGTCCGACACACTCCTCTATTCTGTCCGGCACACCCAGTCAACCCGATACAGTCTCAGCCCAGTACACTCTTAGAGGCTACACGCTGCCTTCTCCTGCTTAACCAAATGTTCAGTCCACTACTCTTTACACAGTGATCTACACCCTGATAATCTTTTATATTTACAGTCTATAGAAAACTTTGCTCGGTCGAACTTTTCACATTTTTATATTTATTTTTAACATTATTTTTTTATAGACTTATCACACTGCTAATTTTATTAGTTTAGTTTTTAATTGTATTATTATTATTAATTTTAAATTACGTACACAGGAGAAAATACTACTTACTAACTTAATCACATTTTATTTTGAAGCAAATATTTTATCATTTTAAAATACACATTTTCCAGCTCTCTACTGCCAGAACATCATTTATCAAAATGTTATCAATTCCGTCTACAGTAGACTGCAGCTCCAAGCATGAAACGAAGTTGCCAAATTCTTTCTTTTTCTGAATTATTTCCGATAATTTCAGCCAAGAATGATTCATGGCTTATTGGTTTGACGGTGTATCTGAAAATCTGAAATTTGAAAAATTATTTCATATTTTAAAGTTGATTAAAAATTAGAACACGTTATTAAAACTAATTTGTTCTCTTTAAACCTAAAAAAACCATCACTTTTTTATTTAATGGAAACAATTTTATCATAAACAAACAACAGTTTTGCTCAGGCTGGGTCCTTCTGTTCAACATTGTTTACAATACGTTCGTTTCTTCCTCAAGTCTCAGTAAAGTATATATGCAATTACAATACCATATTTTCTATATATTTGCAATAATAAATTTGAATAGCTGGAAAAAAAGCAATTCTGAATCTAAAAATTTGATTTAATTAGTACTTTATAATTAAGTATCTGAAAATGTTACCAAAATACTGGGGTTGTAAGCTTCACGTAAAAGTCAGTGAGAATTCTTCTTTTACTTAGTTAAAAGGACGTACTGCACGTGCTTCAAACTTCCATAATTTTTTTAAATTGTTTTGATTAACAATTGAACTAAAAAATCTGTCACATTTTGCTCTAAATAGTGCATTTTTCAAATCTTAAAAGCAAGTGTGAATTGGTTGAATATCCGGGTTCTTAAGGACAAAATATTCGGTCTGCTATATGCAGCTCACTATAAAAGTTATATAAGTCCGTGTTCACTTTCACCTGGTTACCCACAAGGATGGGACTTCAGAGACAATCTTGTCTTTTTTCTTAGATTCCTATAACCCTCCAGATGCACAGTGCACACTTGTTTCTATTTTTGAGAGATCATCTTTTTAAAATCTTAATTATGGTACAATTCAGTCCAAATTCAACCTTCATGATCATCCTAATTTAAAAGTTTATGGTCGTTATTCAAGTGTTATCCTTTGTGGGTATCTCTGTATTTATATTTTTACAAGTTCACTTTATAAACCTCCTAATATAAACAAGTGTTTACAAGTAATCAAGTTCACTTTATAAACCCCCTAATATAAACAAGTGTTTACAAGTAATCAAGTTTACTTTATAAACCCCCTTATATAAACAAATGTTTACAAGTAATCAAGTTCACTTTATAAACCCCCTAATATAAACAAGTGTTTACA